TATATAGAGAGAGAGAGAGAGAGAATGAGAGAGAGAGAGGGATATAATGGTGGTATACCAACCTTTTAGTGGTTGTGTGTGGTGATGAGGTGACACCCACCACATTAGTGGTTAGTGGTGGGTACTCTGGATGACCTTACAAAATTGTTCTATTTTAATTTTTTTTCAAAAATCTAAAATTACAATCCTATGTAAGGTTGTTAAAATCGCGAATTTATCATACAATCCAACGATCCTAGGTAAAAAATTTGATTTTGTGGGATATTAGGATCTTGATCCCGATCTTGCAAACCCAAAAACGATCATACGTAAAATCCCGATCTTGCTAACTTTAATCCTATGGATACTATTTTTTTTCAAGTTCGCTAATTTTAAATTAGATTTTTTATTATTTTTTTTAATTATCAGAGATTCTAATTTTATTTATTTTAAATTGTAGGGATTTTTTTTTTGAAATATATTTATAGCTAGCACTTAGGCTAGTGGGTGTGGTGCCACATTTGTCATGGTCCACGTAGGCACCACGTCACACGTGCCACACTTTAGCCAAAACTTGTCATTTCCTACGTGTGGGTTGCCACACTTGCCATGCGATTTTTTTAAATAATATAGAAAATAAATATTTCAAACATATTATTTTTTTAAAAACTTAATTTTCATTAAACATAAAATAAAACTACAACACACCAAAAAAAGGGAAAATGACGCAACGGCCCTACTATGTATTACGACTTTGTTCGTTAAGTCCCTAAAGTTTTTTTCGTGTCTTTTAAAAGAGCAAAGTGGTTTTTGTCAGGTCACTTTGGACAAAATGAAGGTAACATGGTTACCCCTTTGCCACATGGACATTGACCCATTTTCCAAAAGCATTGACTTTAAAAAGTCAAAAAATCCCTCCTCGTTCTCTCTCAATTCTTACTCTAAAATTCTCACAACCTGAAGATCGTTGTTTATGTTCTGGATATTCGTTGGCTCTAGTGATTTCATCTTCATCGACAGAGTCAAAACCTACGACCTTCCACATAAACCATCTTCCGAAGATGGAAACGTCGATGTCACAACTCTAATTCCAACAAATTAAAGCAAGTAAGTAGTCAAAATTTGAGGACCTGAGCTCAAATTTGAAACAT